TACAACACAACTAGTTTAGTTAACTAACATATATATATATATATATATATATATATATATATACGCAACATTCAGCATACTATGCATATAGTATGACAATGGAAGTGGATAGCAACTGGAAATCATACTCATTTCCAGAAATATAACAACAAACACACAATGAATACCATATAAATTTATTCAAAAAAATTTATAACCATAACTGTTCCTAAAACGATGATGGAACCTAACGGTTCCCAAAACGTCCTTTAAAACCAATATCGCTTTAATCCGGAACAAAAGATCCATACTGTTTGTTCCATGTTTGATACCCTTCGAGATCCTTTTCAACAACTGTTGGGCGAACAAAACGCATCGCTGTTTCGAAATCCGAAAAAGAAATTGAGCGAATCTGAATAAGTTTATGTTTTCATTTAACAACATCATAAATGCACGACAGAGATAGAGAAGGTGACTAACAAAGATAAATAATAAAAATAAAAAATGGAAAAAAGTGGGTCAGTAACATTTTCTTTGCAAGAATTATTCGAAGGGATCAATAAATTTCTGCACTCGAGTGCTGATATTTCCAGTTTTCAGGGTTTAACTCAGTGAATCTCAAGTTTAGTGCTATTGAAAAAATTTCTCAAAATTAACATCATCAGCGCTAATGGACGCAATGTCAAGCGACGATGAATCAACAATATTACGAACTGGAACCATGGCTGCTTCGCAACACAGTTGCTTCATATCTGCACCCGAATAACCTGTAATATCACGATAATGAAATTTGTTCCATTTGCAATAGTAAAATAACAAAATTTTTTCCTCGCAGCAATAGGAAAACAGTAATACGACGGGTCAATTCTAAAACAAATGAGTGATAATCGTAGTGCTTATAAAAAGAACTCGTTCAAGATGGTGATGATGTGAACCAAATGTTATTCGGACAGAATTCAGTAATGAATGATAAAATACTAATGATAAATTTTGTCTGGACTCACCATTCGTTAATTTCGCTATGGATTGTATATCGTCATCGGAAAGATCGTGTTTCTGATCACTGAGAAGTGACTGAATCATTTGTACTCTTGCAGTATCACATGGTAAGCCAATGTACAATCGTTTCGCAAAACGACGTTTAACAGCTGAATCCAATTCTTGAGGTCTTTAAAAGTAAAATAATTAAGACGATGCAGCTTTATATCCTCTATTCAGTTCATATATTTCCGCAACGGCGAACAACATAAATATGATTTCAAAATAAGGTATTTTTCAGGATAATTTTTAAAAAAATCCATTCATAGAAAAAATTAATGAAAGAAAAAGGGGTGTAATAAGAAAAGATCATACCTGTTTGTAGCTCCTAAAATAAGAATTCTTTCATCAGAGGAAGTTGCAACACCGTCTAAATGGATAAGAAATTCAGTCTTGATTCTTCTTGATGACTCGTGCTCACTTTCATTCCGACTTGTAAGTAAAGAATCAATCTGAAATTATAGTAGATGAACTTAAGCAGTAAAGAAGTAATAACGGATTTCACTAATGACTTCAGATTCTTAACACTATTCGATGTCTTATCCACCCGATAGACTGAAGAGCTTCAATAGCAAGGAATTCATAGCATGGAAAGCGTAAGAGAATGTCCGTATCTGACAGTCAAAATAAATCAAGTTCATTGGAAGGGGATAAACGACATGATGCATGGAGAAATCAGGATTTCGAAATTTTTTGGAAACCTAACGTTATAGTCATAACCTAACAGGCTTAAAACGACTCATATATTGCATACAGGATTTATTAGAAATCCTGGGAGGTGATATATGTTTTTTGGAATAAGGTGAAATTAAATTCAATTCACCTCATCGATGAAAACTACGGAAGGCTGCAAAACCCGTGCTATTGCAAAAAGAGCCCGGACAAGTTTTTCACCTTCACCAACCCATTTCGACGTAATAGATGATGCTGCTATATTGAAAAACGTTGCTTTGCACTGTGATGCAACACATCGTCCTGCAATAATGATTTTATAAAACAAACGCAAATATTTATGTAAATTCACAGAAAATATTTGATATTAATATTTGATGCCTTCTCAACAATCAAAAATATATACTTACCAATCATTGTTTTACCAGTGCCAGGTGGTCCGAAAAGTAATACACCTTTGGGTGGTGCACGTATGCCTTTGAAAATGTCACTGAAACAATACGGCATGACAGAAGGAACATTAATAAAACAAACTAAACTGATAAGAAACAGGAATATTAGTGATAATAAAATGCATTTTCTGCCGCTTTCGGATAATAGAGGTGAATATTTGGGTCCCATCTTAAGCGTTTCAAAATATGATAATGTAATCTGTCGCAAATTCAATTTTGATATGCGAACGTTTCCCTAACATTTCCACATGTAAATAAATGTTAGAAGAATAAGTACTGCTAAGCAGAAATAAGTGTATTTTGCTCTGATATTACCTGGTGCAAATATAGCCTAGTCTTACCGAAAGGAATACATAGCGAATTCACAGATAATAATAAAGTAATTCAATGATATAAATAATTCTACGTAGTTCATACCAACCGCGGGGACTAATGTTAAATACATAAAATCATACGGCCGGAGAAATGGAAGAACGATAACTTCTTTGAGCGCTTTTTTAGCTGATTCCAAACCAGATACATCCGCCCACTGAATATCCGTTCGTGTTGACATAATCTAAAAATCAAAAAACTTGAAAGAGTTCTCAATCAGTTTCTCACTGTCTGCAGAAAGGAAAATATTCCTTTTATTATCATAAAATATTTACATAACTGCTTTTACAACATTTATCATGGATTAAATTATGCAGCAGTGTTATCTTTCAAAATATTGTTATGTTGCGATAACTGTAACCAAAACTCTATAAATTATATATCCGCATATGCAGTGATATAATGGAAACAGTACAGTGAAATATCAAAGTGATAAACTGCTCAACTGCTTAGAATTCATATTCATAGCATAATGAAAATACATCGTACAGCAACTAACCTCGGCTTCAATTATGTTAATTATATTGTCGTCCAAATTTTTCAACGATTCATCCGCTTTCCACCCTTCTCTTTTACTTACAACGCCACACCCACTATTCATCGCAGGATGTCTATTTTGTAATTCATTGACATTTCCATTGGTATCCATTTTGTGTACTAACATCTCATTTGTCAGAACAACTTTCCTGTAAATGCACACTTTAAGAAATTTCAAACATACAAGAATAATGCATAAGAAAACTCTTCTATTCTGAAAAAGATGAAAGCATAATATGCAAATAGGTCCGTAATTAATAGACAAAGTGATCTCCTAACTAATATCTAAGAAGACTGCAAGCGCACAAAGAGGAAGTGATGGCTCCGAAATCTGAACGACCACGAAAAAGTAAGTAAGAATAGGAAAGAAAATTAAAAAAAAAGTAAGTTTATAAATCCGGGATATGAACTAACATACAAAAGATTGCAAAACGAGATGAAAAAAAATAAGTAATAGAGTTTACCTTCCTCCTAGATAACGCTGTGTCTTGTCATTAATGGTGTTCACCTGAAAAATGGAAATGAAGAACAACTTATTTTGCGATATTTTACAAAGCCCATTTCCAAGGATGCAGCATAAAAGCTACTGAATAATTACTTAAAAAGGTCTATGAAAGTCAACGAAACCTAAATATCATACTTATATCATTGAGAAAAGGATAAAGAAATACTTTGTTAGATTTACCAATTTCTCAAAAAAGATGTTGCTATTCTTTTGTCTGCTCAAGAAAGTTTTCTATCACTTATTTTTTCTTGAAATGTTAAAGTACAAACTGCAAAAGATATATAAAAAAATTAGTCGATAAACTTACATTATCAGGAAATACTGGCATTACTTTTTTTACAACTGGTCGTCCACTGGCACTTCTAAAAACAACGCTTTATTAAAGAACACTTTTATAAATGAGCTCGATAACAACATAGCAACCATTTGTAAAAGTTCTGTTAAAAGGCAAGCCGGATTATACCATGCATGCGGTCAAATCTTTAAGATAAGCTGTCCACTAAGCTTTCCAGAATTATACTGGAGTATATTGAAGCTATTTTGCTGGAAATGTATATTTGAAACTAGTGCAATTGCACAACAGGCAACAAGTGGAAGTCAATGTATGTTATAAGTGTCACCTAAAAAGCTGCAAAATGAGATAAAATCATACTTGAAATCTGTATCAAATCCTGATCGTGAACACACACCATTCCTTTTGATGAGTCGATAATACTTAATTGATCCAACATTCTTATTCGAATTGGTGGAGCATGGATGTTTCACGTCATCTTGATTTATTGAGGGTGGATTATTCTGAAAACATGACACGAATTGGTTGAATCGGGGATTAACCCCGATTATTATGCTCAGGATTCTAAAAATAAAAATGTGCGGTACAAAAGAAGTGTGAAATTTAATACAAAATTCGAAGAAAAAATAAAATTTCCTTCGCTGCAACAAATGAGAAAGTTTGGGCTCGAAACACTGTGCTGTCTCATCATGAATAAGATAGAAAAGACTCTTTGAATTTTGGAAAAGAAATGTTTTTCTAAAAAAATTTTTCGTCTGACTCTCTCAAATAATCTGTTTTTAAATCCAAGGCGTTGGTAAGTAGATTGCACTGCGGAAGGGGAAACTGTTAAACAGTAGCTTGCATCAATTAACTTACCATATTATCCAACAGCTGTCTTTGCACTTCCAGTACTTTTGGATCTTGAGTGAAATTGAAACGTCCCTCTTTGGTTGTTTCAGGTTTCATCTGAATTAAAATAGAAAACCACATCATGATTTCTTGGAAAGACAATGAATTTTTATCTAGATTAACTTAGTGATGATTTCCCTATAGTACTGTTTCCTCCAAGTTTCTTCTGCCCGGAAATGGCCGAACGAGGTGTTAAACGGCAATTACATAACACAATAAATGATATATTAAGGTTTGCTAAAAATTTTCTAATAAGAAGAAAGAAAAGTCCCAAGTTCTGACGGGAAGAAAACTATAGTTCATCACCGAAGAAGCATATTTGACTTGTAAATTAAAATTTGAATGAAATTTAAATTTCTCTAACAAACTGTGTGACATCAATATCCAACTTGGAATAATGGCAAAACGGAAATGATTTTACCGGAATTGTCATAACTGGATTTAATTTGCATCAATGAAGATGTCCGATAATAAAATTTGCTTGGAAAAAGAAAGCTTAAACTGTTTAATAAAACTCTTCAGCATTTCCTAACCACACCTGATCCAAATCTGTGGATGGACCATCGCCATCACTATTCGCTCTTTTCCGATTCATTAATTTCTCCAGTGACCTTTCACTTTCCTTAGAATCAAATGGTAACTATTACAGTACACAGAAATAATTCACTACTATGCTTTGCTTCGATTACTTTACGACCATTTTTGCATATGAATATACTTCGGACAAGTCCGAAATGGTCCAACGTCACTGGAATCATGAAGAAGTGAATATGCACACAGCTGTCTCATGATATGACCAGAGTATTATCGAAGAGTTAACAGATGGAGAAAAGAGTTCGCAGTGCATTCAATCACTCATCAGTACTATTATTATTATCACTGATAGTTCGCCACCTAATACTCTCATTATCAGTTTGTCATCACTACTCTCATTATCGCTGCTATTTAGCTATTTCCTCAACTTAAAATTTGCTTTAATTCACATCAATGTCTGTGCAACTTCATCTGCTATGATATCTCTTTCTGTTTTTAATCAAAACGACTGTTAAACTGCATAATATTTCGCTCATTTCCTCAATCTATCTCTACACAGTATTTAGCAAATTTCACCACTCTCCTCACTTTCCTCAACATCTTTTAATTACCATGCTATTTTCATCGCTTGCAATCTCTGCATACCATACGTCTAACTAAAGTGTATCAGTGCTCAATACTCTATAGAAAAATATTCTTAGCTCCCCCACACTCACCGCGTAAAAATGCCTTAAAAAATCAGGACGTTGCATTTGCTGTGAACTGTGAAATAAATAGTTCATTCTGCAATTCTTTGTTTCACACTTTACTGCTTCACTCGTGATCCGGAAAGATGCTTCGTCTTTCCAGATGTCTTCCAGAAAAGTCTTCGTCCGTAAAAATACTCATGCGAAGCCACTGTTTAGAATGTATTTGCCGTAAGAATGGGAAAGCATTAATGTTTTATTCGTTGCAAATTCCCAAGTTGTTCCGGAAAGATATCTCTTTATCCGATTATTCGGCATAGCTCGCTAATCTATGCCAAAATATGATAGAACATTGTATACTATGCAAATAGAAAGTTAAATTGGAGTTAAATTCTATTCTAATATTTGGATTTTCCATATTTCTTAGCTTTCTGTTAATTTTTCAATTTTTGATTTAAACTTCAAATTGAAACCAAATTCCCTCTCCTTTCTTTTAATATTTTGGATGAATTATATTCAATTTGTTTCAAATTTGGTTTCATTGTTTACTCTTAGCAGTTCTTCTCTAAAGATTTTTCTTTTTTCTTCACTCCCTTGTAATAAAAATCATTTTTTCCTTAACTTTCTGGAATAGGGAGCCGTAAAGTCTTACTGAAAGTCATAATTACTTGGCAAAGTTTGTAATTTATAGAATGTATTAAATGATTTTGAAAAGAAAATTTGTGCATCGTTGAATCAAACCATAATAAAACAAAAGCAAATAGTTTAATATATTGAAATAAGCGAGAATTTCACTTTATTTTGCTCGGAAAATTTGACATTCTCACCGGGGATATGCCGAATGATACATCTGCGAGAAGTCTCACTAAGAAAGGCTCCTTTGTTTGTGCCCATTTTAGATTTTTAAGGAGTTCTGGGGAATATAATGATGTAAGTCTAGCATAGTCCTTAATCTAGTGAAGAACAGAAAAAAGCGAAATGTAACGGCATGATTGCAACTGTGGGAAAAAAGAAGTGCGATAAAATTTTCAAACTGGAGTCATTCTTATTTGTATTTACTTAGAGAGAATTACTACTAACAGCTTAAAGTAATGGCTTTTGTTAAGTTTTTTGGTTACCTTTTGATAATTTACAATTTATGGAGAACAATGCCTTAATTTTTGTTTGTTATGTATTATAATATTTCATCTTTCGGTAAATCCTTTTAATATCTCCCTTTAAATCAATTTCTTCCAAGCTGTGACGAATGATACATTTTCGTTAACAGACAAGTGGACTGATGATGGTAATCAAAATTGGCCTATATATTGCTAAGCTTTCTACTTATCAATCGTCTCTTCGAGAAAGCGAAAAATAGATGTGCGTGTCAAAACCTTTTCAAAATTGCGTATCTTTGATCAGCAGATGATATCTCGAGATGATTGAATGATTAATTATTTATCAAGCCGATGAAAGATGAATGGATATTAGAGGCGCTTTTTAAACATCGTCGTGGAGAGAGAGTTCCTGTCATTAAACTTGATGATAAGAAATGAAAGAAAAAAGTCGTGTTAGCGGTTCGGTAAGAGAAATATTATATTGAATGATAATCTTATAGCATGATGAACATCCTATGGTAATATCATCCCAAAGAATAATTAATATTAAAATGTTAAGATAAGTTTAATCTAAAAAGAAAACAAAATGGAAATTGTGTCTCATTTCTCCTGTTTTCTTTCAAGACAACAAATTTTAATAGTTTTTTTTCTTTGAAGCAATAAAATATTTGCATTCCGTTTCAATTTCACTCGTAAATACAACTTTTGGAATACATTTTTGAAAGTGAAGTATTAAGTTGGTTTCATTTTCACTCATCTATTCAATATCTCATATCTTCATTCACGTATGAACTGACGTGTTTTTATTTTCGGCCATTCAGGATCTCGAGCTTATTCTATTACACTTTTATTTGTGTATAAAGTTAAACGTGACGTATTTCCACTTAAAAAAAATGTATTATGATTTGTATATACTTTACAACATTATCGTCCATTTTACTTAATTGATTAATATCTTTGGATTTTATCAAAAGTATCAAGTTAATAAAGTCTGCCTTTTAAAAGTGTATTTGTTATGCAAAGAAACAAGAAAAGATTCACAGATTTTAATGCAATAAAAAATTTTTGTTGAATTTCTGCAAATCAAAATTACTGATAGTTATTAGATGTGTCATGATTATTTTATTGAATATACGTACAAATGCGTATTTATTTCTTCCTTTTCTATCCCTGAATTATCATGGATTAACAGTAGTTGCGCAAGGCACGTATCATAACAAGTATCACATAAGAGAAGAGACGAATGAAGAATGTCATGTAAACTGTCAACTGTGAACTGATGATTTTGATGACGAATTCACTGATGTGGCAAATTTAACAGCAGGTGGTGTATTCGTTTACACTTGATATTTCGTTCCTTATCCAGGTTATTGTCTACATTCAGTTTCCGCATCAATGATTCCATAATGTTTGTTTTTCCTTACTCAGTTATTCAAGTAATAAACTAGTCATTTCCAGGCCTTATCCAGTATTCTGTTATTCTTTTCCTTGATTAAAAGTATTGTAGATATTTAAATGTCTCGTAGGATATATTATTCTATATCAAATATATTAATTAATTTCTTTTGTACTGAATTGATTAATGATATCATGCATTGATATGTGACAGCAATCACCATTTTTAATAAATGAAAAAAGTATTGGATAATTTAAAATTCGAATTATTGATATGACTGTAGGAAACTTACGTGGCATGTTATGATGTAGATAGAAACTTACCTTCGTAAAAATTAACCATAGCAGAACTATTAATATTTAACAAGAAATTATTTTCAATCTATTTAATATCCTTTCCTTTCACACTTTTATTAGGATAATAATAATAAACAGTAATAGTTAATTACAAAAAAAGTTTGACACAATAAGCAGACTACATGATTATATATAATTACCTGGAAGAAATATGAATGATTTCCATCATCAAATATTACTGGAACAGACCAAGCTTATTCATTAAGCATTATTAAACAGTCTACTCTCATATACTGTTTTACATCTGCCATAATTTGTTTTATTAGTTTTCGTACAATTTTGATCTTAGTGTACAAATACTTTTTGCATTAATTGATAGAAATTTTTCGATTAATTGATATTTTATAAATCTTTCATAATTAGTTAAATGCATCCTTAAAAAGCAGTAGCATAATGATATGTTAACATTAACAGATTATAGCAACCGATATACAAATATAAAATACTTATTCCGGTTTAAAGGTACTCATGAAGTGATGCAATTTGGACAAGGATCATCATCAGCAAAGAGGATGGGTAAAAATGTCGGGGTCAAATGCTAATTAATTAGTCTACTGATTACAATGAATAATATATGCAGATGATTATTGCAGCGATAGTGGTGTGTAAATACAATGTATATCATAATAGTAGTAAAGATAAATTATCATTACAGTGATAATAGCTCAATATGATCATTATAATGGATAAGATAACAAAATATTTTACACGCTTTTATTGTTCATTTTGTTTCTATATTTTACCATTTCAATATATTTTTTAAAATTTGATAAAAAAGTTGTAGAAATTTCGTGCCAAAATGTTGAGCTCAAAATCACAAATAAATAAATGCATAAATAGACAAATAAGTAAATAAATAAATGGATAAATAGGCAAATAAGCAAATAAATAAGTATATATATATAATGTCAAAAAACGATTAAATTATATATGCTTATTTCATATTTTGATATGTAAAGGCATAGCAAAGGATAGTTTTTTAATCGAGTTATATGACATCATAACTTTCGCAATCAACCATCAAATTTTTATTTCGTAATGATGTTTGAAAGGAATCGTTTGCCAAAGTTAAATTTCTCAAACAAACAAATCGATGATATCATTCAATATATAATTTATATACGATGTGCAAGTAACTTTTAACAGTTTTTAAAAATTTATCCTAACTTTTCAACTAATATATCACAATTTAAACATCACATAACAAATGAACAATTAAATTACTGAGGTTAGTTGCAAAAAGAAAGAATGAAGCATATGTATGTGAGAATAAATGATTGTCCCTAAGTGTCCTTCAGATTCATCCTTAAAACAGTAACAGTTTTGGGGATATAGCAATAGCATCTAAATGTGCTAAAAGCTAATTGCACATTCTCAAGGGTTCATTTCACTTGGCCATAAAACATCGATCTCTGTCAAAGGTACCATTAACGATCATTTCGTTAATCCTTTTACAACTAACTGACTTCTGAGAGATATGATCCTAACGCTTTTACAGTGAACAATTTTGCTACTGATGAACTTTACCTGTAACTTTTGCAATTTGCATCGATTCAAAGTGACATCCATACGTTTTCAAAGCAAATGGTGCCATCATCAACAATGCAATATCAATCAAATTTTCATCCAAGAAATAGGTGAACTTTATAGCTTTGATATTTCTCTCATTTTATTTTATTAATTTAAGAAGTGTGTGAAATATATTTTGTTAACACCTTAAAGGTAAAAATAGTATTGTAGTAAAATTTCAATATTGCGAAAAACGTGAAACAAGATTGAAAATTGGAGAAAATTAAAATACTTCTTGATTACCTTAAAATTTTTTGTATAATTGTTTGGTTCTTTCATTTTTATTTCTTCCATTTCATTCCATTGTAATACGTATAGTGAAATGTAATTGTTCATTCACAACGTATACTTTAAGCAAAATATAATTCTATTTCGAACTATTGAAAATAATTAAATTATTGATTATACAATTTTTTCATCAAAATAAACGAAGCTGCAAAAAAGTGGAAGAATTTTGTAATTTTTTTCATTTTAGTTAGAAAGTTATGAAAAATAAAATGTTTTTTTTTACATTCAAAATCAGAAAAAAGGAAAGACTAGAAAAAACGAATCCAGTTGTAAACTAGTATTTATAAGGTAGAAATATCGATGACAGACTGAATTGAAATTTTTGATTAGTATATGTAAGATGTCATTAATGACATGTATTGCATCATCCCCTAATATCTTTGCTTACACAACACTGAAAAACGGATTAGGTTATCGGACAACCTGTCAAGTTGTTAAGCAATCCAACTCATTTTTTCAGGTGATGATATGATAGTGTAATTGAGATGATGTCTGATGTAACACTTTTCTTATTCAATTCTAATCAACCTAATGATATCTGATATAATAATTCTCTTCTTATTCAATTCTAATCAACTTACCACTTTTCAGTAACAAAATTTACCATTCGCTGGTAACAATTATTTATTTTAAATATTGATCTGAATGGTAATAATTATCTGTTGAAGTGATAATGTTTTTACTTTTCATGGAAATTTCAGCACAATACGAAATATTTTAATAATTGCTATAATAATTCATGCAGATATAATTTCCACTCATGATATACAAAAAAANAAAAAAAAAAAACAATCGTGATATCAAAATATCATATTGGAAAGGAAAATTTGATGAATTACAACATTCGGAACTAATTATTGATTCATACGTTAAAATGAATTGTCCAAAAGCAGTAAAAAATCGCTGGCAACTTATATTAAAATTTTAGCATTTTACAATAAAAGATGGAAGATTAATAAAATATAAATCGAAAGAACAATAGCTGAATTATTTAGTTTAAATGAAAAGTGAATGTAAATTATAAAGCCGAAAACTCAAAATTTTTCTGCGATTTACAAAAAGTTTCATATTTGATGTTCGATCTTTTTAATTTTTCTTTTATCTTATTTATTCTAGAAAAAGGAATTTGTTTAGTTTTTATTACAAAAAGAATTTTTGAAATTCTTTTTTTCGTCGAAAAAACAAACAAACTTGCATGCAAGCTGAACTTATTTTTTATGTAGGTACTCAAATTTATTTTGTATATTACTTATCTTTATCATTATCATATACGTTATCATTTTTTTTATCATATACTTTATCGTTATCATTTTTTTATTACTTCAGAATGCTTGTGATAAGTAGCTTTACAGATAATGAAAAGATATCATCATTGGGAATAATTAATCGAGTAATAAACTAATTAACCAAGCATTATTGACAAATAAGAATTGATGCATGTAATATTATTTTACAGTTAATTTAAGATTATACTTTTAGTTTGTAAATTACTTATCTTTTTACCATTTCCGTTTTTAATCCAGTACTATATTTCCCGGAAATTGCATAAACGAATAACAATGATATATGTGAACGGTTATATTACAATATGGAATAGAAAAGTGAAAAGAGTAAATGAGAAGATTACGGTAAATTTTACTAAATGATTTATAAGAGTTAGTTACAAAGAGGACGATGTTTAGTTAAGCCTCTCCCATTTCCACATGCTAGAAACCTCTCTCCGGAATATTGCGCTTCCCTTAATGCTACTACTACTATACTACTACTACTACTACTACTACTACTACTACTACTACTACTACTACTACTACTACTACTACTACTACTACTACTACTACTACTACTACTACTACTACTACTACTAATTCTTTTTACCTTTAGCATTCTCCCGTATAGCTAGCTCATTATCCAACTTTTCCTTTTAATCAACTTCCCCGCCCTGCCCATCTTCCTGCCTCTCATTCTATCATTTTCCCTCTCCTTCACTTCCTCATTGTTACCGTAACTTTAAACTTTTCATATAATTTCAGTTGTGCCACAAAACAAAGATGGAACTAGGCACTGTATAAGTTTTGTTCTTGTAATTTATCCTATTCCATTTATTCCATTCTTTTTTCATCGGATAATTTGGCTTTCAACCTTAATACTATTCTTTCTGGATAATATCTAGACAGTTTGATTTTCAACTCCAAAACAAACTTTGCCATATTTTCCGGATGATAACTGAATTAGCTTGGCTTTCAACTCTAATCCCATTCTTCCTGAACAATATTTGGCTTGTTTTGTTTTTCATTCTTCATATTATTGATGGCATAAGAAAGGAATGCACTGAAATAGTTTATTTCTGTTCTAAAAAAATTATGTTAAAAAACAAATATATATCTTTACTTTTACGATTATTTCCTTGAAGGTTATTTGTTAAAAAATCACAAAACAAATATTCCATCTCCAAAAAAAAAAAAAATTAATTTTCAGACATAATTGTTGAAGTAACAGTTTTTGATAAGTTTTTGGATAGTTAGTTATCAACCAAACGCAAAATTAACAATGATGAAGAAAGGAAATGGAAAGTTTAACAAATACAAAGAGAAAACAAAAAAACTGATTGATAAAATTTTGATAGAATTTCCGAAACGGAAATATTTTGGACCGGATAAGAAAGGAATAATGCCAAGAAAGAAGACGTACTTGATTGCTTCATTACTTGATCAATGCGACACGAATGATATGAAGACAATTAATTATAATATTGTCAAACCAATGGAAATAATCAACAAGGAATGCGAAACATTACGGTTTTTATTCTTATTTTTGTTCATACTAATTTTCATCAAAAATATTAAAATTTTCCGTTTTTCAAATGCCGGTATCCTGAATAACATTATATTAATATTTCTGCTAGGGACTTATTAAATTTAAATATTTTGATAACTTCTTTTTTTTAATAAATGAAAAGTGATTTACAGGAGATGAAGAAAATTTCATGTTGAATTAAAACTATGGAGGATTTAGGAAATTATAGAAAAGCTAATATTTCTGAATTGTACCAGGAAAAAGAAAAAAATCCAACCTACTGAAAGCTTTTCTTGTGATGAAAAATAATCTGATTCTTATTTTTTATTTGTACTATTATTTATCAGTTACACTAAACTTCTAAATTTCAATTTTCTTTGACTTTAAAAATTCATTTTCATTCATTTTCATCAGCTTTTCCTACTCAACTTTTTTTAATGTCAATTCTAAATTCAGTGCAGTAATGGATACCCGAATTCAATAACCAAGGCAAATTCCAAATTAACAGAGAAATACAGATTTGGAATTGCAGGAAATTGAACCGGGATGTGCCAGGATGCTCAGATGAGGAGCGACAGCAAAATGTAGTACCAAAGTCACATGTAGTACCCTGGCGAAGAGCGCTACCGATGCCAATAATTCGAAATCAATTACAAAATTTCCCCGGAAATGAATCATCTCAGTATTTTTTGTACAGAGTGCCAGTACCAACGCATTTACATGTAGCTTTCAATACAATACTATGACATTATTAAGAATCTCGCAAAAAATATATGACTAAATAATAAAATTCGATCCGTAATCAGAACTTATCTTGATGATAACGATAGTACTTGTAATTAAGTAATATTAACACATTTTAACTTTCCATTTTCATTTATTCCAAATTATTTGCTTCAGTTTAAAATTTAAATATTTAGCTAGACATGTTTCATTTTTTCATCATTATTTCAATTAAATATATCAATTTGCAATTTGGTTAATTAAATACTTAAAAAATTCATATTTCCATTATTTTCATTTTTTTTACTGTCACCCTTCTTTATTTTTTGTTCATTAAAATTTTTAAGTTTCATTATTTCTTTTATTTTTACTTATGATTTCAAAATTGCTTTTATAGTACAACTCTTTAGCAGCTAATCATTTAAATGTACTGGAAGAATTAATCAAACTTCTGTTAGTTTTGAAATTTGTCTATAAGCAAAACTATCTTAAATTTACAATTATTTAATAAATACACGGCGATTTCCAGATAATTATCCAAATAGGCTATGACTAATTTGTTCTTTCAGTTCTTAGCTGGCCAACATAATCTCTTGATGACTTTTTAATAATATCCGGAATATAATGCTTAAACCTGTTTCAGTTTTGCTGTGATATATCAAGCTGAACTTATATGATACCATACATGGTTTCAATTTTTCAGGATATTTTTAATACTGCATAATTATAGGCTTTATCACCATACAATATACCATGCTTATCACAATTGATGATCACTCGCTATCAACTTATGCAAATGCAGCAAGCTGCGATACAGCAATTGTCGTCACCATCATCATCATCCACACCAGTATCATCGCCATTATCATTATCTACTTCATCGTCAGCTATCAATCAACAAATTTTATCCAATCAAAGTAATATTGCTTTTCGTTTTTCTTTAAAATTAAAAATTTATAGAAAAAATTTTAATAACTAAATTGCTTTGATAAGTAAAAAAACTTTGATTTCAAATCTTCATTTCGTGAGTTTAATTATTCATTTTCTCTCCCTTATTTTTTCAACTTTTTCAAAAATACAAAATATAATGTGGAGGTATGAAAAAGAAAGGAAAGTTGTCATAAGTTGAAAAGTTACTGAACGATTGGTCACTTTTTTGATATTATTCTACACAGTCAATTAATATAAATTAGTATTAAATTCCCACTAGCTTAAATAAGCTGCTTCATCTTTTTGGACAAGAGAAATCTAACAATTCTTTTAGAAGACCTGCAGAATTCTTTATTGAAAAAACTTTAAATAAGAATGATAATGGTAAATTTAAAATGTGAAAAAAATTTTAGCAAGCATATATCAGCAGCAAAATCGTTTCCGGACAATGGATAATCAAAATCAATCAACTATTAAAAAATATCGATGTAATATTTGCGATAAAACATTCAGCCGAAGTAATACATTGGTGACACATAAGGTGACGTACGATTTTTTCTTTTCCTTGATAAAAGAAGGGCTTGGGATACGATATCTCTTTATGATGTATGGTTATATTAGAAGAAAAGATTTAAAATGTTAGTGAAGTTTGATAAATAATGAATGATTTAGAAAGAAAGGAAAATGGAGAGGATGAAATGCTGAAGGAAATTCCCACTAACAATAAGGATGGGTTTGAAATAAGTCTTCTTTTCCTGTTCATCATCCAACAATGACACTTTGGGTTGATGGCTAGCAAAAAGCTCGATGATTTCATAAATTATGCAAAAATAGGTTTTGTGCTAAAGCGATAAGCTTTCACCCGTTTTGCTTTTAAACCTTGTATAGTCAGTGTCGCCAATCTCTCTCCTTACCTTTCCCACTCTAAGCAATTTCTAATATTCCCTATCTTATTCTATATAATTCAAAAATCAGAAACAAATTTGAGTCAAAAAGAAAATAAGCCTAACAAGAATTTTATCGATCTATTTGAAAAACAAAAGAGGAACAATGCATAACGATTGATACATAAATGAAGATTGATTCATTCATTTCAAATATATCTTCCTTAGATGATAATTGAATTTTTATGTTGGATTAAAAAGCACTTTAAAAAAGAATTTAAAATAATTTTCTGAGAAAGTTGCGGGATATGATCAGCGAATCAGACCAACAAATGGATTTAAAAAGAACAGCAATTGATTCACTAAGACAATCAAACACTGAATTAAATAATCATCTTGCTGTAATAATGCTTCGTTCTTTTTTTTTTTTAATTTACTTAGAGTAGGTGAAGTGAATGGTTGTTCACTGCAAGATGGCTTATCCTTTAGTGATTGACTTTATAACAAGTAATGTTACTTCTTATTTAAAAATATTACCTTACGGTGCAAGAAGCAATTTATAATGTGATTAGTGTAATCTGACTGACCTGTCAAGAGAAATGATGGATAAATAGCACGTTGGTCAGTCACTTTTTGTGCCTATCATTAGGCTGTATCGTGCTTAGAAATATTTGCTTTCTTTTCAAAGCACTAGCAATTCTTTCTTTCTTTTGAATCTTTTACTAATCTCTAAACCCTCCAAAGCATACATACATCTGATTTATTGAGGATGCCACGGAACATTTCGATGTGAGGAAACGGAATTATGAAAAATTATGAAAAGTTTTCCTCTTCATTATTAATTAGCATCATTTATTGCCATTTATAACTACACTCATCTGTTACCAAATGGAGGAACTAAACTGTCCTGAAATTTACTTTTCCTCTAATTTCATTACCAATATAATATTAGGATTTAAATGAAATTCTGACGCTATACAAGAAATTTTGTACCGAATTTTGAAATTTAACCTTAAATAATTTGCCATTTGAATTATTTAAACGTTCAATTCACATGCTATCAATTACCATATCATTACGATTATTATCTTTCATACTTTTCAATTATTAATTCTACAGGGAATTTGCCTGTAGAAATTTGTTGAATATTTGTTTATTTTTGTTCAACAGAGGATTCATACTGGTGAGAAACCGTTTCACTGTGATCATTGTGGTCGAGCATTTCGACAGCCGGGCAATTTAACCCGTCATCGTCTTACCCATACAACAGTAAACTATTTTATCTCTTCATTTTCTTCTCATATTTACCGTATTACTAAAAAGAGTGAAGAAAAAAGAAATAAAAGATATGATTAAATTAAACAAAAAGTATCTACATTAGTCACAACTGTAAGCATTCCCTTATTGTTCTCGCATTACTATAACAAGTAAAGGTAATATATTCTGATTCACTTAGTTCAGTTTGTTTGCATAAAGATCTTTGTGTATGTATGCTTACTGTATATGCATTACCATAATAAATAAAGATTGCATATTGTGATTAACTTTGTAGACATGAGAATATATCTTTCATAAAATGCTTAAAATTATTAATTTCAGGTGAAACCTTACATTTGTTCCATTTGCGAGAAGGCGTTCAATCGGGCGTCAAATCTTCATACACATATGCGCACACATTCCCAAGTATTCCGTAGCAAAATAACTGCCATGCAGTCGTTCAGATCGGTTTAATGTTGAATTCCTTCTTAATTGTTAGTATTTCCTTGTCTTTTTCGAAAATTTTCCGTTTATTTTTATGTTTAAAATATATGGAAGTAAAGCATTTTAGAATGAAGGAAAAACGAGTTATTTTAAAAAATTTGTTAATATTTTAATTCACTGAAAAAAAATGATCTTATCTTATTTCTGGCTTCTCTTTTCAGGTCTGGAATAATTTGGAAAAAAATTAAAGACTGTTTGGGATAATTCTGGAATATTTTGCACCATTCAACTAAAAAGTGATAATTTGCATAAGCCGGTATTTTCAATGAATTATTACACTATATTTGCTAATAGTAATAGATCATACCAGACATTATCTCTTTAGACTTCATGGAAGAAGGAAAAACTTTTAAATCAGTTTCATAACTAGTTGTTATTTCTTTGTATTCAATCATTCCCCTTGAAATTATTCACCGATTTAATTGTAAAAAAATAATCTGATCACTGATAACATTTTTGAACAAATAACAAGACGAAGCATGAGAATTTTGACGGGAAAATAAAAATGTAAAGCTCAAATAATTGCAATGTCTCATAAAGATAATTTCATATTTTAGATTGAAGATATTGAAGATAATGTCTAAAAAAAAGAAATTAAAACTTTTTTTTGCAAATGCTGTTACAACAAAAAGATGAAATCTGAATTGAAAATAAACAAAGAGCAGTGGTTTTAATGAACAAAAGATTATTGACATCATAATAAAGCATATGGTAATAATGACTGTACTGCATATATGATAACAATGATAATAATACTAATACCTTTATATGACAATAATGACATTATACACGGTACATGATAATAATAATGATGATACTGATAACAATGACGATATATATTACTATATGAATCTTAAGTTATCCTCGAGAGTTTGAGCTATTCGAAATGGAATGAAAAGTGAATTTCATCACTTTGGCGACTTTGGCATTACATTTTCATCACTTTGGCATAACATTATTATTGTTATTATTGCTGTCATTATTGCTTGTTATTATTATTATTATTATTATTATTATTATTATTATTATTATTATTATTATTATTATTATTATTATTATTATTATTATTATTATTATTATTATTATTATTATTATTATTATTATTATTATTATTATTA